AATGTCCTTTGTATCATTTATATAGCAAATAGTCATTTTTGGGGATCTTATTTGGTTACTTAAAAAAGTTGAGTTTGGAGAACTAATCTTAATGTTCATAATGTTACTAACTTTTAAAATCAAATCAACTAAATAATAATAATTTGGATAAGTGGGATTAATTAAAGAATTTAAAGGAGAAGATATTGATTTTATATCAGTTTGTTCATCAACACAAATTGGCAAATTGAGGATAATAGAATTTGAATTCTTGTTGGTAGTATTTTTAGAATTATTTGAATTCATAAATATATCGACGATTTTCTTGAGACGTTGAAATTCTTCAGACGTTAAAGATGATTTATCGTCAATACTTGCTGTAGATGAAGATGGATTCAATATATTAACAGATATTGATGTTGGAGGCTGAATTTGAGAATACAATTCGAAATCATTCATTGCAGATAAATCATCTTGAACATATAAGTGAGAATTAAAGAAAATTTGTTGTTGAAACTGTAAAAAATCACGTGGTTGAACCTGTTGCGAACAAAAAAGTTGATTGGATCCCATTTCTTCGATATTACGGATATCTTCAGGATCCATGGTAGATTCATAAGTTCTTTTGAAAGGCAACATGTTGACAAAACTATTACGTAGATTATGTATATAAGGTTTTTTAAGGAAAATTAGACGATAATTTTTTGCAGAATTTGATACTATATATATATATATGTATATATATAATACCAATAACTTTATTTCTAAAAAAAGCTAACTTAAATTGTGTCACAAAAATTGCATTGACCCACTTATTGAAAATTAGCCATAATTGATTGGTTAGCTGTTATACAGTACCAATGATAATTCATGAATTAATTTGTAAACAAAGATGCAAGAATACCGCGCATATAGTTAGCATTAGCGTTAGAGAGCATAATTTTTAGTCACGAATTAAAGATAGACAACCAACTTGGAGATTATCACTAAATTTATCATAATCGACGAATAATTGCGTCTAGTTCTGTGAAATATTCGTCGAAATGATATCATATGAAACTATCACGAAAATCCAAATACCTGGTTGATTCTTTTAATTTTTCTATTACATGGATAAATACTGCTATTAGTAAGATTGGGACCATATTATTTCACCGACAATCACTTTACCGACAGTTCATCTAGCCGACATCACGTCAGGTGAAATTAGTAAAAATATATACCTGCAACTAATCCTAATCCTATGTGATGTCGGCTAAATGAGCATTCGGTGAAATGAGTTGATCGGAACCGTAATAAAAAACGTAATAAAGCATGGTCAAGAAAGGTAAATTATTCTAGTCGGACCTGTTAAAAACCCGAATTTCGTTGTATAAAGAATTTCACTTTTAGATTTCTTGGTAGTGTTTGTAGTCACT